TCAGATGTTGCAACGCTTGGAGACATCGAAAACTGCTGTATCAAATCGACGAGTAATTTCGCTCCTGTTTTCAAGAACTCAGTAATGTTCGCGTAAACCTTGACGACTACCCGTGCTGGCGACAAGCGACTCTCCCGGTCAGCCGAGGAGGTATTGGCATACGTCGTGCGGAGGAATTAGCACTCCCAGCCTACTTGGCTTCGATTCACTCTGCATCTGATTTGTTATTGTCAATGCTTCCTAACTTTCCGGCAGTAGACGCCTCGGAAGCGGTGGAGTTATGGAAAACCAAAGCCCGGCAAGCAGAAGTTCCAGAAGTTGGCTTCCGAAAGCTCCAAAAAACATGGGACTTACCGCTCTGTAACGTGTCGGTTTCTGTTTTATTGGACTTGTTTCGCGGCGACGCCGTTAATACAGCCCGTTTTCTTGCGCAATCCCGACCCGTAGCCGGTATTTGGCTGAATGCGCTGCTTTCTGCTCACATCGGCAACCTCCTCGACGACGAGACGATTAAGATTTCTATCGGCTTGCGTTTAGGAGCAGATATTTGCCAGCCTCATAATTGCACCAAATGTCAGAAGCACGTTGACAAATTAGGACACCACGGCTTATCTTGCAGCTATTCGGCCGGTAGCCACGCGCGCCACGGAGGTTTAAACAGCATTGTATGCCGGGCCTGTGTCTCAGCCGGCGTTCCCGCTAAGCTCGAACCGCGCGTAACGTCCTCCACCACAGATCAACGTCCTGACGGTTGCACAACGTTTGCCTGGAAAAGAGGAATGTGTCTGGCCTGGGATGTGACGTGCGTCGACACAATGGCCCTTTCCCATCTCCCATCGACATCGGCTACGGCAGGAGCTGCTGCTGTACAAGCAGAAGAAAAGAAGTCCCGACTGTATGCGTATCTACTAGGGCGTTACATCTTTTCTCCCATCGCTTTTGAAACAGTGGGTCCATAGGGGCCGGCGGCTATCGCTATTGTGAAGGAATTGGGAAAAAGACTGCAACAGCACACTGGAGAGCGTCGATCGCACGAATTTTTACGTCAACGATTATCGCTTGAGATTCAGCGCGGAAACGCAGCATCTGTTTTGGGTACCATGGATGGTTTGGATAGTTTAAATGAAGTTTTGCTGCTGTGAATAGCACTGCGTGTTTTCTTTTCTTTACCAGAATTGTGCGTTGATTATTAATAAAAAAGTAGCACTCGTGCACCGATGCAGCGGACCATTTTCAAAACACGAAAATCTTAATTTACTGTCAATAAAGTTTGGACAGTTTTGCGCGTCTTGTACTCCATTGCCGCAATGGAATTGGCTGTTCTTGGTATCATTGCAAAGAGAAAATCATTCTACACACTGGGTTTTCTTGGTTTTGCGATGGAGTCATTCGAACTCCAACGCTCAGTGGTTTTCTCGGTAAGAAGAATTGGTTCTATGTTCAAAAATTTGTAACTTTTTAGCTTTTCATTCAAGATTTTTTTCAAATAAACCCAGTGTCTAAAATAATTTTATCTTTTAACTGGAAACATCGAACCTGAACATGGTTCCATTTGGTGCTTGGATAAGGTTTTTTAGGGCAAACGCAACATAAAAAGTTTTGTAGCATTTGTGTTTTTAGCGCTGCTGTTGAAAATTTATCTGTTAAAAAATGCGATTTTTGAGCTTGCTAATGAGCCTATACGAGGACAATTGGGTGCTGTGAACATACCCTTCACGATTAGGGTGCGATAACACCCGGGAACTAACTATACAGAAAACTTTATTTACTCGAGTATTTTCCCGTCTGTTTCGACAAATTACGGTCCACAAAAAAATTAATGTATCTTCAAACCACATTTTAGAAGTAATATGTAATGTGCATGAAACTTCTTTCCTTTCAATATGAACAGTACGAGGACAGTAACGTTGCGAGCTGCAGACTAGTCGGATGTTCATTGCACCCTAATCGTGAAGGGTATGTTCATAGCACCCAATTGTCCTCATACACTTCAAAAACGGACCAAACCAAGGCGCAGAAAAAAATTTCGAAGCAGCCATAAATATTGCTGATCTGCGCCGGTGCGGAGCCCGGGGGCGGTTGGAAGTCAGTAGCCTTCCAGTAGCCGGGAAGTCGTGGCTGCTCCATAGCAACGCGTGCTCCTACTGTAATTTTTAATTAGGGCGCGTTTGCAAACCGTGCTGTCTGCAAATACGGGTGGCACATGAAAATTAACAGAAAACCAAGGTCTACAAAGCGAAAGACACATGCATGATAAAAAAAAGTAGTGTGCTCGGTAAATTGTGCGGTCAGTTAGTGGCCCCGGTATTACAGTGCGCCTACCATGCGCCAATCTGTACGTGATACGCAGCGTATGCGTAGTTCCCATTTTGGCGCACTGTGTAATTCCTGTAATTCGTGACGTGCGAAACAACGTCTACGGCGGTTGCCATTCCGGCGCACATCAGCAATTGGCATGTCACAATTGACTCACAAACCAGTCTATCACCTTAAGCAGTTTTATTGCCGATTTTACTGGCATTGCACCATCTGTGGACCCTCCAGTTGTCGAGCGGCAACGTAACAGAAGCACGCGTGCGGTGGCCCATGCCACAGGCTGTTTTAATGTAAATCTTTGAAAATTCATAACTTTGTTCACTCCTGCATTAAATTTTTATGTATAGTCTTGAAAAATGCAGAATAATATGGCGTACCAAACGGGCCAGAGTTTTTCCAGAGAAATGCTAATGACAAATGCTCTTTAGTTTTCAATCAAATGTTACTGACAAATGTTTTTCGCTACCAGACAAATGTTTTCAAGAAAAATTTTACAGATAAATGTTTCTGACAAATGTCAGAAACATTCAGACAAATGTTACTGACAAATGTCTTGATGTGATTGTACTGCCGTCTCGTGCGCCGGAAGCGCGACTACGGACTCTGACATTTTTTGCCAGTGTGCCAGTGCGCAACCACTCATTCCGCACTCAGATTTGCGGTGGTAGGCTTCTGACATTTGTCAGAAACATTTGTCTGAAAGTTTCTGACATTTGTCAAATGTTTCTGACATTTGTCAGAAACATTTGTCTGTAAAATTTTTGTTAAAACCATTTGTCAGAAACATTTGTCTGTTAAATTTTTTTTAAAAACATTTGTCTGCTAGCAAAAAGCATTTGTCAGTAACATTTGATTGAAAACAAAAAAGCACTTGTCATCAGCATTTGTCTGGAAAAACTCTGGCCCGTTTGGTACGCCATAGAATAATACACAGTAGTACTTATTAGGCGAAATAAATGTTTTTCTGTTTTTGCTTTCACAGAGGATGCAGAGTGCACAAATCTCCGCTTTTCAAAGTTGAAAGTTTACTGTAATCAACACAGAAAATAATTATTATCGTGGGGACCATCGTTTGGCCGGGTTAAAGAGGCGCACTCATACGAATATGTCAATTCAGCAGTCGGCTTATCAGGTTTGTTAGGCTATTAAATAGCCTAACAAACCCAGTACAGACAATTTAAATTATTTTCTCCTCATAAAATTGATTGCTGTTTGATCTGGACTTTACCCATCCCGTGACCTTATAATTTATCCTCCGGATTACGCATAATCGCGTGTAATCTGGTGCAAATGCAAAAGCCGCCGGGCTGAATGCTTAACTACAACCAACACAGATTATGTTAAATTACAACAACCCGCCCTCGTTACAACATCATAACGGGTCACAGCTTTGGCATTCCCAAGTACGGTTTTACGTAGCACAGGATGAAACTGGGTATAGGTACAACTGTACGAGTACTACTGCATTCAGGCTTTGCACAACACTTTTGTAAATATTTGACATGAACCTGATTAAGAACTACTGTCTGGTCTATCTTATAAATTAACATAATTTTTATTGTACGTAATTGTATGCTATCGGAACACCACGTTCACCAAGAGTAAATGGGAACCCGAGTTAGGCGAGCACGACATTTACCAGTTGGGAAGATTAGACTCGAGTTAGCATTTGATTTGGGCGGTGCAGTGTTTTTTCATGCTCAGCCAAGTAGGACTCACTTCCTGATACTCAGGCGACAACACATGTACCGATGCATGCCGGTGGTACATATCGCCGTCGTAATGAGCTGATAATTACACTGCAGGATGAGCCAGTAGCGGAAATATTACACTGTGTTATACGATGCCCAGGAGAGCAGTTTGTCCAATGTGTCAGCGTGTGTAACGATGACACGCGGGCACACAGGCGTGAACCGGGTGTACATGAGATTGGAGTCGCGCTACTGTTGTTCTGAATCTCCCGGGTTTGCACGACTTTATGCATTTAGGCCAAAACAATGGCTGCTAGCATCACGTGTATCCGGTAAAGGGAGACGTTGTTAATTTTTCTACACATCCTTAATTTCCAAGGTTGCCAAAATGCGTCGAACGTTATCCTTGAAAATTAATTAAGTCCTGTGTTATTCAATGGCCCCATGACGCACTCGCAAGGAGAAAATACAGAAAAGTTAAGTACTAGAACTCGATTATGTACTAATTCCTGTGATGATTTTCAATTAATCTTTTCACAGAATTCACTTTCACGAAATTAAAGTATCTAATTTTAAGACAGTAATATTCGATAACGCTAAGACATAATCTCTATTACAACACTTCGATACGATACAAACGATACGATATAAACTCTATTATAGCAAAACATACAGATCGTAGTTTGTTTTCTGCATTCGAATGTTTACGAGGACATTGTAAGTTATACAATTTGCATAAACACCTATAAATCGGCGCATGATTGGTCACTACTCTTTTATGTTAACAACATAATACCGTACTGAGCGCATAAGTATCGATTAATTTTATATGGATTTGAACGTTTTGTGGAAAGGCCACAGTGCAGTTTTTATCATACTGAACAAAGTACTTCGTGGAATAAACGTCACTGACTCTGTTTTGTGAACCGCCTGCACCGTGAAGTATCGTAACCGTATTGTGTAATTTACTCTTAGGCTCAGCCAACTCCAGCGAGTACACCAACGTCAGAGCTGTCAGGAGGATGTCCAAGGGATGCGCTTTGTGGGGCCAGGCCTGTCTGGGAGGTAAGCGCGCGTACACGCACAGACGTACATTAATACACAAAATACTTCATCAAGCGCAACTGTCATAAATGTAATAAACTGTTAACTGGTTTGAGTTATTCGAAGATTGCTATTAAAGTTAGCCACTATTTGTGAAAGCTTTTTACTGGCACAAAAAAGGTCTTCTTACACGAAAACAAGATAAGCCATGCACCGTGGGTCCGTGACAAAATAAATACAAGTAATACAACTTTCATTCTGTCAGTGTTTATCATTATCACTGATTTGTTCATTATGTCAGCAAAATTACGTACCAATCCACGTCGTAGCGTTCGACACGTTCTTCAAATTAAGCGTCACCGCTGAGCCGGATTGGGGCTGGACACCGGCCACCGATGACTGACTGTTGAGCACAAAACTATTCTGATCGGCACTGCTGTTTTTCGCGGTCGTGACAAAGGTCACATTCACTTGTCCACTCATGGCGTCACCCGACAAACCCATCTGTTTGCCAAGGATATTGGAAGCCTTCTTGTCCAGGGCCATGACGTGGAACATATTGTCGCTTTTTCCGGATGGTCGGGTCAGGGTGGTCACTGTATCCGCCGGTGCCAGGAGTACGTAGCTGCGTTGCGCTCGTCCGAAGTTTTAGGCGGCGAGAAATCCACATCCACATCTTGGTACGCTACGGTTACAAAGTCCTGCATGATCTTTATCTTTGTCTTATTTTTTCTTTTTCTTTATCATCTTTATCTTATTATTTACTGGTCTCATTTTCTTTTACTTCTTAAACAATGATATTTATTATTAATTTTCTTCGCGACAGTTAGTAACAAGTTAATTAACTATTAAGCAATTTGCTGAATTTATTGCATATATACAACTAGCTGTGTGGACCACAAGCAAATCTGCAAACATACGTATATCTGTATGGAAGATGCCGTGAAAGATAAAGTATCGATAGTACCCAAAAACTAGATTTTATGACTATCAGATTATCCATGTTTCTTACGATCTGTGCAATTTTGTGCATCGCAGCCGTACATCCAAGCCAATCCCATGCAGTCATCCCGACTGAGATGTTCCACGTAAGCAATGGTACCATTTCCCGGCAGACTGTACTGTAGATGACGGCGTTGTCGGCCGCGTACTTAGTCACGGAGGGCATGGTGATGGAGAAATAATCAAACGGGAAGTTATCGTAATAGGCATCCGATTCATTTCATCCAGTAATGAGCTACCTTTTAAACCTGCAGCAAAAAATCACAGAGTCACCCTGAGTCAAGTGGCACAGCATCATTACTACAGGATACTGATGTTCATGGAAGTGTAGATTTGTCTCCTTAAAGTGGAAAACACTTGCTCCGGTGACAAAGCAATTCAGTGGGCCCGCGCTCAAGCTCTGACTCTGACTACTCAAAGTCTGACTCTGACTGTCCAAACTCTGACTCTGACTCTGACTGAATAACCTAAGAATAACTTAAAAAACCTAAGAAACCTAAGAAACCTAAGAAAACTAAGAAAACTAAGAAACCTAAGAAACCTAAGAAACCTAAGAAACCTAAGAAACCTAAGAAACCTTCAGAGTCAGAGTCAGACTTTGAGCGGTCAGAGTCAGACTTTGAGTAGTCCGAGTCAGAGTTTGAGTGGTCAGAATCAGAGTCAGAGTTGGAGTCTAGGCCAATTCAGTGTCATATTATCACATTTATCAGCAACGGTTATTCGTAAAGCACGCGCCTGATTAATTTGAGACGATGGAAATTGACAAAGAAAAGATGTTTTCCAATTAATCCAATCTATCCATAAACATCTCTATACCGGCAATATCGACTTACAAAAGGTTTGCTGCACCTGTGTATTGCACAATATAATTAATTCTAAGGGTGTGGAAGAGATCTCGCACTGAAAATCCCGCCGAGTTTTAATTAAAATGAGGAACATCTGCTTATTTACACTTCTATGTACGAAATCTTCCCGCCAAATACTTAAGTAAGCAAATGCATACATATATAACGCCTTTATTATACTTTATTTCATACGCCATGATTTATTATTCCTATATCTACTGTTTTGTGCAAGACTGATATAAATATACTGTGCATACACTGTATACTGTGCATTGTGTGCAATCCATCGCGGTAGTCAATTTGTACGCATTTCGCTTATAAAATTCTTTTAATTTAACGAACACTGACCAGGAGCTAAGTTATCCGGGTAGACATCAATGTACTGATCGCGGTCGGGCCGACGATACTCATTGCGCAGTCCCAGTGCATTCACTATGATACGCATCAGATCCCGCAACGATCCCATACATCCGTTCTCGCCGTTGTGGATCACCAGCTTCTGACCGTGACCCGCCGCGCGGTTCACGCGACCCAGAAACGTCACACAGGTGGGCGGTGTGGTCCTGCAATCAGTGCAGTATTGATATAATATTGATTTAATAACCGCTGTAATTTATACGCTCAGGATATGGAATTCATTGTGAAATCCTTTTACCCATCATTCAGCGTCTTGGAGATGTATAAAAAAGCTTTTCCGGCATCCGTATCGGGATCGTACTCACGGAAGTGCAAACATTGATTCGTATTATCCGCCACCGACATCATCGCGCCGTGTAACATCACTGCTTCGCCTTCATCTGCCACAATTAAATTATTTCATTTACGGATGGCGGATATTTTCTTTGAGTATTTTCGATGGCAAAAACCAATGCGACAATAAAAGATATCTAGACAACTGCTAAAAGAATTATGTAATCAAATACCAAGCGTATTTGACATTCTGTAGCTATAGAGCAAGTAATTCAAATCTCTACGTAGAATTCGAAGGCCACTTGCACCTCGTAGGAATGTAAAACACTTTTTTACAAAATAGTCGCAATCTGTTGTGACTATAAGAAGTTTTAATCAGCATCTTGTTTATTACAGCGATTAACATCGTTATATACGCTTGGATCATGGATACCATAATTATTATCATAACTGTGCCCGAACGATTTTTCTGCAGTAATTAAACCGGAATTAGCGGATCACGTGTCGAGACCCGGTATTTCCCAAAACCCGGTAGTTGCTCCTGTTACTGATTATTATTTTTCAGGAAATTCCTCTTACTGTAAGAATCATCAATATAGTATAAAATATTTCTGGGATCTCTCCATGAATATGTAGTAGCGATCATCCAAGCTTTGCGCTCCGAACGTACTACTAGTTCCCTCGCGTAATGCTGCGTAAGGCGGGAAGCTGATGACCATCGACAATACCGCGCGCGCACACAGAACGATGCCGGTCTAATGCTAGATCCAGAATGGATCCAGAGACAGAGACAGAAACAGAATCTATCCTGTGGAAGCGAGCGATACGATCTGGATCGCGAGCTATGCGGAAACACAAACGTCGCACCGTAAATCGCTGACTTTTTAATATTGAAAAGTCTGGAGACCAGATAATCAACAAGTGATCGGCGCAGCTCGATCGCAAAACCTAGAGCCAATTCAACAGTGTGTAACACTGTGCAGCACGTGCTAAGCCGCGCCCACTAGCCAATCAGAGCGAGACACAACACAGACACGTAATCCAGCTGGCGTAGCGTCGCGGACGTGAACGCTAGTGAACCCCCGCTCACATGCCTCTGGGGGGATGCCGAGCTCCGTTGAGGCTGAACATACTCCCGAATCCACGAAAAGACGGCGGTCGCCGGTGTCTGTGCGTGCTCAAAAACATCAAATCTCTTAATCCATTTAATCACATAATTCCAAATGCACAATGTGAAATAAAGAGATCTGTATTAAAATACTATTCCATATCAATTCTAATACAAAAACAGATCAACAGTTATAAGATCAATAAAAGTATTAATCAAATGTAGACTAGGATCCTCCATTTCTGACTCGTAAAGGTCACAGGTCCTGTCCACCGTTTTCCGCACTTTGGCCCATTCCGCTCGCTTGAGCAATTCCGCGCATCCATAGTGCGACTTTCATCACAATCCGCTTGAGAATCTGGTGCGTATCAATGTACGACTTTAGGAATACTGCTTCATCTTTGGAATAAGGTGCGTATCTATTGTACGACTTCAAAATGAGATCCATAAGGGTCATGGAGGGACGTCATGTAGACAAGCGTAGTTCGCTTCCTCCCTGATAAAGGTCATCCTTTGTTGAGATGATCCGTTGAGATGTGCGACTCGTTATGGGTTAATGGTCCCAAAAGGTCATGCGACTTAGATTCCAATACGATGACTCTGTTGGGAAATAATGATCCCAAAGGTCATCCATCTTCTCTTCAAATCTCCGGTAAAGGTCATGGAGGAACTTAGCCGATTTTTCTGCGGCCTTCAAGCACTTCTTTGCTTGCCTCCCTGGTAAAACTTTTAAGTTGACCTTTCCGTCGCACATCCAACTTCAATATGCCTCGAGCGGCCAGAGTGCCGGCAGAGTTTACCGTAGCATCTCTGGTGGGGCCGGCTTGCTACCGCATTAAATTTACCCCATAACGCTTCCACATGAAATCTTTTACTCTTGTTCGCCGCTTGTGGCCCAGCTTCCGTACGAGAGATCCGGCTTGGTTACCGCTATTTCTCTCGTTGACTTATGACACTGGGTCGCTCGGAGAGATTGCCGGCATAGTTTACCGTAGCAACTCTAATGAGACCGGCTGACTGCCGCATCGAGTTTACCTCATTAATATTTCCACCTGTTGTCTTTCTCTTTTTCGCCGCTTGTGGCCCACTTCGTATTCAAGAGATCCGGCTTGATTACCGTAGTTTCTCTTGCAAATTTATAACACTGACTCGCTTAAGGAGGAGGGCCGGCTAACTGCCGTAGCAACTCCCTTGGGGCCGGCTTTATAGACCGAATCAATTTCAACCCCAATCGTTGCTCCACATGATTTCTTTATCCTTGGCGGTTCTGTGCTATAAACGCTGAAAACAACAATTACACAAATACAGCTTATGTAAACAAGTCATATCGCCCTCATATACAACACCATTTTTCATTTTTGTGACGTGCCGACAAAATGCCGTAGACGTCATTTTAATAGTGTGATCCTAACGATCAACACTATTCCATTTCGTTTGAATCGTCTTCCTCACCGTCTCTCGGCGGGCGCTTCTTATTACTCCTCGGTTGGTTTTGGTCAGAAGTCCGGTCAATCGGTTCCATGGGACCAACTACCATCACCTTTTCCGGGTCAACTTCTCGCTGACCGCGACCTTTCCCTTGGCGACTTCTTTTGACCGCCTCGACCCGGTGGCGTGCATCATTCTCCTCCAACCGGAGTCTCCGGTTGTTAGGGTCATCCGCCAATCTCCGTTGCACGTCAGCGAGGTTATCGCGGAGTTGCTGGTTTCTTAAGCCGCGTCGTCCTATCTGGTTAGGAGCGCGTTCTGGGCGTCGGTCGCTTTTCTTCACAAGGAATTCGTCGATGTACATTTCAACTCCGTCAAAAGGTTCGACGTAGTCACTTCCCATGGTGTCTTTAATCTTATTAATCCTCTCCTCTACCTGGGAGGCATGGCGTTGTGTAAGATTGCCCTTTTCCATTCGTATCTTACACTTTTTCAGCGCCTTTCTTGCCGTATGGGCTATTCCAACATGTTCCATGGGTTCGCCCAATTTCGCCACGTGAGGTCGGAAAAGTGGTGGGATATCGTCCTTCATGGTATTGGACACCAACTGGTTATGTGTCTTATAATGAGCCAATCTCGCAGCAAAGACCTTTTGCCCCATCCTTCTTGCGGCATGGTCTTTAGGATCCACTTGTAATCCGATCGATGCTCTTGCTGCGAGCAACTTGAAGGCTGGATTCACGTGTCGTAAAACGAACTGAGCCACATATTCTTGTCGTTCGGGATAATCTCTATAATAGAATTGTGTCATCCCGACTGGGTCAGTGGTATCCAGTGGCACGTCCAACAGATTCAAGTCCAACAGGCTATGTAATCCGTTTCGTCGGATAGGAAGATAACAATCCCTTGCTGAGTCGCGGGGAATGTATAGTTGACGAAAAAGCCCTTGTTCGACTCCCTCTTTAATTTCTTTCGCATAGCCCGAATCGAATAAGAATTGACGCAACTGATTCAAAATTGTGTGGATCTTATTCGCATCCGCCGAATCGTCTTCGATCCCCATATATCGGCAGATTTCCGTCTTTTGTTCATCGGTGTCGCGCATATCGTATCGCGCGCGATCCGGTTCGCGCCGATTCGTGTGCGGCGGTTCAATACCCGTCGATGTGGATGGTTGGGGTCACTGTGACCACATTTCTTCGGGAAGTCGTTCGCCGACCGCACTTCGCGCCCTTCCACCGTTCACGATCTACGTGGACTGTCGATTCCATCCGCTGATACTTCGGGGGTGAATCTTCCCTTTCTGCGCTCGATGACCTTTTGCTCGCGCCAGATTCAAAACCCGCATAATACCTGGCTCTTTCCTGCCAGCGTTTATCCTGTGGGTCTGGCGTTCGATTTCGCGTATGTTCGCGTCTTTTGTCCCATGACCTTTCGGGTGTTGACATCCTAACATTGCGGTTACGGAATCCAACTTCCAACGGCACCTGATGACCTTTCTTTTCAGGCTCTGTGCGGTAAGTCTCTGCACGCCGTTGTTCCTCACGTCCTCTTGTTGCGGCCAAAATCTTTGCCGTATCGATTTTGCGCTGAATACTCGTCTCGGTTATCTCGTTTCCATGGCGCACCCATCCTCTTCCACCACGGTAATCTCTATCATGAGAACGTTCACGTGACCTTTCACTGCGATAATCCCGTGTCCTTTCCCGGGAGTGTTCACGTGACCTTTCGGTTCGTCTTTCAGAGGTCCGTTCATGTTCGCGTGAGTGTCCGCGTGACCTTTCTCTATGCGGGGGCGAACGAGGTCGTGTAAACACGTCATCTCGTCTGAATCCTCTGAGCGCCTGGAGAACATTACTCTCGTTCTGACGGGATTTACGCAGCTCCTCCATACGTTCCTCAACTGCCTTCTTTATGTACGGTGCCGGAGCGAAACTCTTCTGCAGTCTCAACTTCTCCCGCAACAGCGCATCAAATAGTTCCTGTTGCATAGCCGCTAAATCGCTGGTCAGCGTATCAATCTGGATGATCAGGGACTGGCGTATCAACTGGGCTTCGTCGTCGTTGAAGCTGGCTGTCGGTACAGTTGAACTCGACGGATTTGGCAGCGCCTCTCTTGCGGCCTGTTCGCTCGCCTTTTGATTCGCCGCGTTGATCTTTGCCCGGAGTTCATCCTCCAACTGTTGCCGTCGCATCTTCTCCTGATCTTCCTCAAACTTCTTCCGGTATGCGTCCGTTTGTGGACATTTCAACGGCTCCAAAGTCTCGTCCCAGCCACTTTCGTTATTCTGAATTGCTTCTCGGTAACGATCCTCGAGTAGCATTCGCTCTTCTACTGGGATGCTGCCGTAATTCCTCGCGCTAATGAGGTTTCGAAAAACGTCCATGTTCCCCCGTTTGGCTTTCATTAGTCCCACGAGTGAAACAGTGTTAGGGTCTCCTAACTTATGAACGCATGAATAGCACGGGAACTTCTTGTCAACTTTTCGGTTATTCCGTAAACAGTCCGGACACTTTGGATTATAGCCCGTAGATCTGTTTATCTCTGATGCGGGTCCTGCGCTTTTAGGAGTGGCTTGACCTTTCTGTGCCATTTTCTCCGTTTTGAATCTGCAATCAGAAAACACTCCATCATAGTAACCTTTCCGCGTAAATCGTTTCCATTCTTATTCATCATCAAGGCTTTTCTATCATTTTTACGCCTATTCCGCTACTGAGCTGAGACTTTCCTAGCTCCTGCTGCCCTTTCTATCACTGTAACGTGGTGACCTTTCTCACGTTATCAGCACTTTCTGACTACCGTGACCTTTCTATTAGTCTTATCGCCGCTATTTCTCGAGTTGACCTTTTCACTTTCAATTTTCCATAAAGCTTTTCTCGTTCGTTTTTAACTATTTTATGCTTTTCTGTAATATGCAGGGTTCATTACTCGCTGCACATTACACGCATCCCATTCACTCAGACTCCTTCGCCGGCGGTTGATATGGTTTGAAGTCAATTCGGCCATCCTGTTTGACATGAAGCACCTCGTCTGCAACCAATGCTTCTACGGCATTCTTTATCCATTCCTTATCGTTCTCAATATTCAATTCTCCCAACTCATAATGGACGGCCATGAAATTCGAAAGGTCACCCCATGACGCTCCATTGGTGCCGCCAATGGCGTCCAAAGCCACATCTGTAACGGCTATTTTCCAAGCCTCCAGTTCCATTTTTAGTCTGGGCGTGCGTTCCGTGCCCTGTTTCGGAAGATAGTAGATGACTTTGTTATCTTTGTTATATTTACATCCCAGTCTTCCTTCCTTATATGCCCGTTTCAGGACTCGTTCGGTCATATTTAGTGACGATCTTCCGTTCGAGTTTACCGCGACCTGTCTTTTGAGATCGGTACCAAGCATTTCTTTTTCTCGAATACTCTGGAGTGCAGCTTGGACTTCGTTCCATGTCCGATTATTCACATCTAACGGCGCTCCGAGCGAATAATCTGTCGCCTCTTTAGTTTCCATTTTCTGGGGGGATTTTGCCGAGTCCGTTGCATCAGTCGCCTGTTCATCTATCTTCAATTTTGCCAACGAGCCTGATGATGACTGGGCAGATTTCGGTTCGATCGTTTTCTCTTCCTGTGGTAAAGTCTCAGGACCTCCCAGTTCTCCCGCTGACTTTGACCGTTCTTTCTCGTAAGCATCCTTCAGTGGGATGAACAATGATTTCTGATATACTTGTCGCGCGGAGGCTGCCTCTGCTTCTGCCGAGGCCTTGTCCATCGGGAGCATGACCTTTTCTTTCTCCCGTTTTTCTGATGTTTCGTGACCCTTCGGTTGAATTACTTCTGTGTCTGTCGCAGTTGCTGGTGTCTCTTGACCTTTAGGATTTTCTGTGTCCGGTTCCAGAGACGTTCCAGAGGCACGGACAGCAGAGGTGTCGTCGTCACTCTCCTCTGATTCGGAATCCATGGGTCCCTTCTTTTTCGGTACTTTCGATACTTGTGGTTTAACCCGTACGGATCCTTCCTCGGCTGTTAACTGCGCGATCCGATTCAGTATGGGAGTTGTCGGGTCTCCACTCGATGGCACTCTTTCCATCTCCTGACTGTCGGACATATTACAACGGGTTTGTTTTTCCGGCGGTATCAGGCCTACTCTCGTATATCGGATCGGGTATCCTTGATGTGCGTTCGTTGTGGACAGGATATTCTGTTTTATCATCCTTGGCAACGCGCGTTCAGTGGCTGTGTCGATTTCCTTTATCAACCCTTTTCCGTCATTCCAAACAGCGTTGATATATTGGCTGATCCGGTGACTCGTTGACCCCAACGGGCTTGTCATTCCCGCGATTGCCCTTTCCACTCGCATTGCGGTATCTTCATTGGGAGTCGTCAGCGACTTATCCGAGCTTGACGGTCTGAATAGTTTAGCCTTATACGCGAAATTCGGATGTTTCTGGAGGAGTTTTCCCGCATTCCGAGCGTATTCCAATACCACATCGAACTTCTGTTTGGTAAAACTACGGTGCTTGTCCTTCCGCAGATATTTCTTTAAACCCGTTCTGAATTTTGACGTTACTGATGTGGTTCTTACTCGTGTAAAATGCTTCTCTGCTCCGTTGAACGCATCAATAATTTCGTCAATCGTGGTCATATTATCACTGTCTGGATCTTCGAATTCCGCTTCATCGCCCGAGTAATCAAGTTCACTGTCACCGTCCGGTTCGATGTAAGTGGCCATTGCCAATGCATCAATTTTCATGGCCTCTTTTCCTTTCTTTTTCAACTTTGCGGGTTCGCTCTTTGCTTTTTTCCCTCTCTCAAGAGCCTCCGCTAGGCTTCCTGGCTCCGCGGTTCTGGGTCTAGTCGTTTTCGGGTCCGTATGTGACCTCGTACTAACCGTCGAAGTGCTTGGGAGGCTCACTTCCGATGCTTCCGATTCACGAGACGTCTCTCGTTTTGCCTTTTCTCGCGTTCTTTTTTCCCTACGCTCTTTCGTAGTAGATGCCGAGATGACGACTGGGACAATCTGTTTCACAGCTATAACCTTCCCTTTCGATGTTGACGGCTCAGGCTCGGTGACCTTTGACTTCGATGTAGCCGATTCAATGACAAATTTCTTTGGAATAATAGGTGCGGATGACCTTTCTTCCACTTCACCGACTGGTTCGTCCAATATTTCTACATCGTGAGACGACGATTCGTCTTTCTTCTTTTTCTCCTCCTTTTTTCTCCGGGTGTTTTTGCTCTCGCTTTCATCACCGCTCTTTTTCTTCTTATCTTCTTCTTCCTTCTGTTTCTTTAGGGAGTCACCTTTCTTGACCTTCTCACGGTTCATGGCCTCTTCTAGTTTAGCCGCTTTCCTCGGTTTAACGACCACTTTGAGGGGCTGATTATCTTCTTCGGCCATGTTATCGTCTTCGTCGGCCTGTTCCTCTGCCGAATCGTCGTTGGCTTCCTCCTCTTCTGATTCGTCCTGTTTCGATGGTCTCCGGGTACTCTCCGTTCCTGCCACTCCGGCTACGGAGGCCTCTGCCATCTCTCCGGCTCCACTTTCTTGTGCCGGGTCTTGGGCCTGAATTTCCAAATGTGGTGTTTCTTTAGCCGGTGCTTGTGTAACGATCTCCCACAGGGGATTTTTCTTCGTGTCGTAAAACACCGTTTTATACGCTCCGTTTTCCGTTTTTCTTGTAAGTCGAAAATGTGCTTCATCTATCTCCGCTCGATGTCGCATCATGCTGATCAGCGTATTCGCTTGAATCAAAGGATCTTGACGTTCACTCACTGGTATCAAATTCCACAGCTGTTCGAGTGCTGCCCGGTTGGCGTGTTCGGCGCTCTCTTCTGACGCATCCCATGGAGCGTATGGGATCGGATCTCCCGTTATCGGGTCGACGATTACTGCGGTTATGCAATCCGTTGTTCCATCGCCGTAGTGGAGTGTTAGCGTCATTTTCCTGCTTGTTCCATCGGTATATTTCAGGGTCGATTCGTAATCGTCTAACGTTCGCCTACTCGGATCTGGGTCTGCTGTTGGTTTCGGCCGAATTCTCTCTTTCGTCAGCAATTTCCCGTCCACCGTGTATGTATATGCTAAGTGGTCGTCATTTGTGCCCACCTTAATACGGATCCACGCGTTTTCTTCGACCGCAACTTTGGACACCACATGCTTCATCATCTGAATGAGGACTCTCGGATTATGACGTTCCTCCGGGGGGATGAACTGTAATGCCTCATTGACTTCTGTTTTTGCCCTTTCTCCAATTTCAGTTTTGACTGATTTGTCCGCTAAGGGATTATATGAGTCAATCTCCTTATTCGTTCTTTTATCGACTATCCGAGCGGTGACCTTTCGTTCGTTATGGTCAGTTCCAGTGTATTTGACTGTAAAAGTCCGGCACTTCGGAAGTCGAACTGAAGCAGCTTCGGGATCCGGCGGTGTGGGTGGTGCACTCTTTCTACCCACTGGAATCGGTGCTTTACTCGTCGTGACCTTTTTCGTCCGCTGCTCCTTCTTGTCGCTTTCTTTTGGACTTGTCGTCGGTGACCTTACTCTTTTTCCGCTTTTTACGGTCCCGCTAGACGGCTCTGTAACCGAACTGGTACGTCCGCGTACTGATCCTGCGATTGAACTGGCCCGTGACCTTTCTGCTCGTTCGGTTAATTCTATCTCAATCTTTCTCTTTGTTTCCATGAGAGCACTATCCGACATCTCCTCTACTGGTGCTTCGACTGATGCCCGTGATGGCCCTGCCGCGCTGCTTGCTGAGGGTCCCGTTTCTTTAGGAATCGTCTTAAGGAACATCTGTATCTTCTCGATCATCGGCGGCCATTTTCTGTTGGTTAGAGCCGGATGGTACTGTTTCATTGAGGCAATCTTGATCGCCAACTCTTTACGTTTCACTGTGATGCTTTTAGTCTTTTCCTTCAATGCGATATGGACTGCTTCAATGATCGCGTCCAGACTCATTAATCTCCCGTAGAATGCATGTTCATCCTCGACTCGCATGTGAATTCTATAAAGATCCCTACACATGCGGTTGAAATCCTGGATGGCCGCTGTATCAGCCGTTGTCAGTCTTTCTTCATCGCCCACTATCACGTTTAGTCGTGCATCATCGTCTTTCATGTCGAGCGGGAGTTTCGGTGAATAATCGTGCACCGTTGGTTCACCCGGGGGCGTTGCCCGTAGACCATCTGGTCCGGCCTGCTCCAAATTTGGGCCCAGCGACGGCAGTACGCCTCGCGGTCGTGGTGAATCGAACCGGTTTCCTCCTCGCCTCCCTCCTTTTTGTGGCGAGTTCCTGTGAAATCGTTGCGCTCCCAATTGCTGTGGCGTTCTCATACGAGGCGTTCCGATATCTAACAATGATAGGCCTCCCGATTCTGGGAAAGGCGGCAATATCGGAGATGACCTTTGCGACTGGGTCGCTAACATTCCGCCAAATCCTCCGTGTCCCATAAATCTACTTGGTGTAGTCTGTTGCGGTGGCGGCATCAACATTCTTGCCGGTCCCATCACTTGCGGCGGTCCCATCGGTGGGGTATACGCTCCTGGATGCGGTTGATAAGGGGCACTCATCATTTGTCCCGAATACTGGGTTCCGGCAGGTAAGCCGTGGTGCACCCAGTTTACCGTGTCCTGATAAGTCGTCTGCTGTCCCGGATCGTGATACACATAATATTCCGGGCCGCCATAATAACCTCCCTGGCCTGGCTCGTTCTGTGCCGTTCCTGCTGACGACGTCGACCCTTCGCCATATGAAGTGTCGTATCCGTATTCACCTTCCATTCTTTTCGGGGTCGATGCCTTTAATGGATTTCCAATACTTTCCGAATCCGAATTCTCTGAATTCTGTCGTTCCAATCTATCCATTAACTGGGCTTACCTTCTGTAACAATGAAACAATAATGGTTAGCTGTCATAACGATGATGACCTTTTTACAGCTTCCCAACTCCTATTTTTAATGAAGTGAACCCTTATTCATGTTTATGTGGGTTATTTGTCTTTGCGTCCTTTAGTTATCCGATCAAGGAGTTCTTTATCGGCCGCATCTTCCACTTCACCTTGCTGGGTCAGCAATTCTGTAGGAGTTATTTTCTTTTTCTTCTGTTTGACTTTTCGCTCGTCGATTGCTTTCGCTATATCACGGCCCAATTGCTCAGCTTTTGATTTGACCGCTTCTATCTCCTCTTTTCTCTTTCTTATAAGGTCGTTTTCATTGCCGGTAGCAGTGCGTGGTTCGAAAAATTTCGGATCGCGCTCTGGTATCTCGGCGCCTATCTGCCGTTTCGAAAGGTCGTCGACGTCTCCGGTAGTGCGTGGTTCGGAAAAAGGATCTTGATTCGGTTCAAGTTCTTTTTGCGAAGCGCGTTCGGCTACTTCATCTTCAGTTCCTAGTGACCTTTCTGCCAAATTTCCGGCTTCTGTATTTAACTTGATTGTAACTGCTGTTTCGAAATCCTTATCTTCTTTCCTTTTTCTTCCTCTTTTCTTTGTTGGTTTATCTTCGTTTCCACTCTTGTTCGTCCGAACTTCATCCGTTTCGGGTAGCGGAGGTGGTTCGAAAAATGATTTGCGTTGGGGATCCAAATCATTTTGTGGGCTTCGCTCTGATTCCATCTCTTCTTGAAGATTGCCTTCCAACTTTTCATCTGGCAATGGTGGATGCCATGGTTTCAGGCGGTCGATTGAGACGACCTTTAAGTCCGCTTCCTTCTTTGGATTTTGCTCAATCACCTCCGCTTCGTTTGCTCGCGGGAAGCTAATGATCTTCCATACTTTGTCATATTTCGATTTGAAGTCCGATTGGTTCTCTTTCTTTCCTTGTTTCGTATCCTTTGGGAGTCGTATCAATACAAAGTCGCCGACTTTGAAGTTCGGCTCGGATTTCTTCTTGTTGTAGATTTCCGCGTTCTTTTCATACGCATCTTTGATGTTGCATCTCGCCACTTCTTCGGCAAAGGTCAAATTCTTTTTCATGGTCTCCACCCATTCATCTGGGGTCCCATAATCGTCTGGGATGTTCGTTTTTGTGACCACATCTTCCGGCATTGTCATTTCTCTGCCGTGCAGCATATAATATGCTGAATATCCAGTTGTGGCATGTACGACTCTGTTCATCGCCGAAATAACATATGGAAGGTACTTGTTAAACTTTCTTTCGTTTCCTGCTTTCAGGTACTGTGCCAAACCGTCCGCAATCGTTTGCATCTGTCTCTCCACTTGGCCTTGACCTTCTGGATGATATGCTGTTCCAAATGTGTGTTTAATCTTGAACACATTGGTGACCTTTGTCAACACTTCAGCTGTGAAGTGTCGTCCACGATCCGTGTGCAGGATGTGCGGCGCTCCATGTACCAATATCACATGTTTGACGAACACTTTGGCAAATTCTTTGGCTGTAGCCGTCTTCGTTGGTACGGCAATCACGTACTTCGTCAGCTGGTCGATGAACACCGCTATGTATTTATATCCGCGTTTCTTCGTTGGTAACAACGGTCCTTTCAGATCCGCGTAAACTCGGAAGAACGGATGTCCCACTTTAATCTCTTGCAATTTCCCGGGTGGGCATTTCCTCGGTGTCTTACGAAACTGGCATCCCTGACAGGCAGTTATATAATTCTTTACATCTGTACTCATTCGATCCCAATAATATCTCAATCGGATTGCTGTCAATGTCTTTTCGAATCCCAAATGTCCTGCCGCTTTCTCGTCGTGCAATGCGTGGATTATCGCTCTTCGCATTGACAACGGCACCACATATGACCTTTCAAGTTTTCCATTTTTATCCTTTACTCGGTACAGTATGCCATTCCATAACTGGTAATGCACTTCAAATTTCGATCTCGTTTCAGCATCTGGTAGATGTTCCAGTTCATCTATTATCATTGCCAGATGGGGATCTTTCAACTGTTTATTGCGCAACTGCAAGTTCGAGTCGTCTTCCTCTTCTTCATCACCTTGCAGGTTGACAATGCGGACTGTCGCCGTACTGAGTTCATTCCAATCTTTGATGACCTTACACCGCGGTAACGGTTTGTATCTCTTTTTCGTCTGTTTTGGGAATCTCAACAACTTGATCGGGCACTCGTTCAGTGCTTGTGTCACTTTGTCTGTTTCCCAAAGGTCATCTCGAATTTCCACCGTTTCGTCAAGTCCGGTGACCTTTCCATTATGAGCTTCAATATCCGCTGCAAGTCCGGTGACCTTTAAGTCACTAACGGTAGGCAACCAGCTTTTAACTCGGTTCACTTTTGCTTCCGTTTCAGCCGACTCATTCGCCGTAGCTGAGGTGACCTTTAATCGTTTTTCTCGTTGTTCCGCCATCTGTAAGAACAACTGGCCAATCTCGATTGCCGGTTCCTTCGTGTCAAATTCCTTCTTGTAATCTTCGAAGTTCGGAATTTCATCAAATTCTTCTTCGTGACACGTTGGCCCTCGATCGGCGCTCTCGATAACGCGTCCGCATTGTCGCAGTACTTTCCGGGTTTATATTCAATTTTGAACTGATGACCTTGTAATGCCATCGCCCATCTCGTCAGGCGCGGGTTCATACCAACTTTATTCGTTTCTGACCTTAACAAGTTGGTCAGCGCCTGATGATCCGTTCTTACGGTGAATTCCGCATAGTCAATAAATGGCTTGAATTTTCTGACAGCAAACACTACTGCCAGACATTCCCATTCCGTTACACCGTAATTTCTTTCGGCTCCGTGTAAAACGCGACTCGCGTATGCGATCGGGTGTCCGTCTTGTGACAACACTGCTCCAATCCCTTCTTTGCTTGCGTCACATTCAATAACGGTCGGCTTCGCGGGGTCAAACTTCGCCAATACCGGACCTTCACAGAACAGTTGTTTCAAACTGTTGAACTCGTCTTCGTGCACTTTCGTCCAGTCTTTCTTCACTTGTTTGTCTTGTCTCAACAGCTCGTACAAATGACAAGTCTTCTGTGCATATCCCATGATGAACTTGCGATAATAATTCGCCAGTCCGAGGAATGATCTTAACTGCCTTTCTGTTTGAGGTCGTTTAAATTCTGAGACTGCAGTGACCTTTTCAGGATCCATTCTGATTCCGTCTTCGCTGAGAATGTGGCCCAGGAATCCCATTTGTCTCATTCCAAATTCACATTTCGTTGGCTTTATTGTAAATCCCGCCTCGACTAGGCTCATCAATACATTTCTCAAATTCTGCATGAAGATCGCCCAAGTTTTTCCAGCGAAAATCACGTCGTCAATGTACCCGAAGACGCAACCTGTCCTTTTCGCCTTCGAAAGCACTTTATCCATGCACAATTGGAATGTCGCTGGTCCATTGCAGACTCCAAACGGCATCCTTTTAAACCGGTACATTCCATCTTGCGTGACAAAGGTCGTCTTATTGATTGACGCCGGGTCCATTGGAATCTGCCAAAATCCACTTTGTAAGTCCATTTTCCCGTAATATTTGTTGCCTGCACACGCATCTAGCAACTCGTCCGGATTCGGTAACGGGTAACTGTTCTTTCTCGTTAACTTATTCAACATGATGTAGTTGACACAAAATCTGGTCCCCATCGTTCCGTCGCCGTTCTTTTTCACAGCAAGCACGACTGGAAAGCTCCACTCGGCATCTGACGGTTCAATTACATCTTGTGCCAGCATCTCTTCGATATCCTTCGTTATGAATTCGCGGCCTGTCCAACTCGTTCTGGCCGGGTTACATTTAACTGGTTTCGCATCTCCCGTATCGATAACGTGAGTGACTCCTTTCACATCTCCATACGGTTTCTTTGATGTCGGTAAGACCTTCCAGAATTCCCAGAACGCGTTATACACGTCGTTCTTTTGTTCCTCAGTTAGGTCGGGTCCTAGTTTCAGATTGCCGATTATCTTTGTCAATTCAGCTTTCGTCGTGTCATCCACCTCTGGGTCTTCGAGCACGTTCTTTACTGTCCCAGCGTTGACCTTT